AAATCTCGTAGTCAGAAGTCAACAGGCATAAAACTCTTTACCCAAGTTTAAACAATGTGAATTTTTTCATCATTTTAAAAAATAGCTTTTTTACCTGGAGTTCTAACTAAGTACTATTAAATGAACCCAAATAGATATATATTTAAAACAAGTTATCAATTGTATCACATTTCAAAGGATGGACACAGCAGCCTTTAGTTCTGGACAAAATAGCTATGGCTGCATTTAGACAAATATCTTTGGAAAGCTAAATAAGCTACTGTGCCAAATTCTCAATGCTACATATGTGAGTGAAATATTACAATTAATACTTGCAATATCAGCTAAAATCACATGCTATACCTGTTTATACTGATAAAAAATTATGAATTGAAGAGGTTTCATAGTCTATTAACATCATCGTTAAAATTGCAAGAACAGATAACTAGTGGTTTGATGTGTTCTTAAACAGGGGATCTCCAAATTCTTTGCCCACCTAGCCAACAAAAGTGATTAAGGGGAGAAGGATCATTTAACCCTTAACAACAGATATAATAGAGAAATGCTGATTTTTCAAGGTTTCTAGAACAATGGACATCTAGACAAATTTTCATTTTGTGACATAGCTAACTATGTCACAAAACCAAGAGCAAACCAACATAGTGCACTATGTGCACAAACCAACATATAACTATGTGCAAACCAAGCTCAAAGCCAAAACTTAAATATTTTCTTATAAAAGGTCATTACTTTTGCTCTGAATATAAACAAAAACGTGTTTCGAAGAGTGTGAAGAAGTTATCCCTCTCTCAAACAAACACAAAGCAGAGCTTGCTTGATAAGCAATTGAACCAGTTGAACCTCTTTTCTTGCTTCAGAGATCGCCTTACTTATGAGGCAAACATTCAAACCGAAACAACTATGGGACTCTATCTCGTTCACTTATTAAACTTACATACTGCATTTCTTTTAACCACTTCCTAACTTCTGTTTCAAAACTATGCAGCAAACTAAATAAGATATTTGAAGCAATGCCAAGTCACATATTTAGCGTATTGGGATAAATTCCCTAACATTATTTGCAATTAAAATACTCTATTTTAATCCTCTTTTTCTTCTAAAGATATACTTGTGTTGTAAATTTAAAAGGTAATCTGCTTATACTCAGCATTTTAGATATGTGGGTAGATTTTGGGCCCAAGGGAAATCATTTGAAGATCCCTGTCCTATGCTATTATAAATATAGAGGCTTTATACAAGTCTAAACTGAGTTTTTAGTTTGCAACTAGAGATTCTGGAAGACCTGACAGACCTCAGGGCTCTAACTAATGTAGCAGGAACAAAAAAAAACATAATACTACTTTTTAACTCCTCACCCAGCAATCATTAAAAACAAGAAATTGCAACCCAATTTCTTTTCTTTTTTAAAAAAAAGTAGCTTTTAGATAAAAAGAAAGAGAGAGAACTTACATTTTATAACCAAAAAAATTGAAAAGTTACTTTTTCTCAGAAACATTTAACTCGTAGTAAAGTAAACTAGAACCCTAATTTTTCAGTACCGGTTAACCTAGGACAAATTTTAAGAAACAAACAAATGTTAAGAAAAAGTACACCATAATTATTAAAAAGATTTGAGCATAAATTGTAACGCCTACATGCACCTCAGCATTTTGATTTTTGAATTTGTAGTTAGTCCTCAAAAAGGACGCCTAACTTTGAGCATATTTTATGTGGCTTAAAGAAATAAATGTAGTTTTATTTCAAGCCTTAACTCGCCTCACTTAGTATAAAGTATTTTACAAAAGCTACTCATCTTTAAGCATTATAGATGCATATTTTAATTCACCCTCCTGACAAACTAAAAACTCACTGTATTTAATTTACATTTTTTTCATAACTAAGAATAAATGTTTCATAACTGGAAATTGAAAAGTTGGATGCTGAAAACGTTTTATAATACTAGATTAGGTAGACTTAAAACCGATTTAAAATTTAGAAATTTTATAAGTCAAAATCTAATAAAATTAGTTATTTCTAGACAATTTGACTATTGAAAAATTTGATATATTAATGCTTCAGCAAATTTCCATGAAATTTGTGCGGGAGTCTTTATTGTTATAAAACAAAAACTGGATACCGATAACATGTACTTATATTCAATACCTTATGCATAAAACAAATGCACAACAGCCCTTCTTTTAATTACCCATTTAGTTCAGGATGCATTGAGCTTCATATGACACTCCCTTCCCCAAAAAATTCTCATGAAAAAAGTTGCTCTCACCTTTTGATACCACACTGCTGCATCACATATACAATGGACTCTCTTTAATTCAAATTTACAATCATTCCTCTAAAATTTGATCTTTAATTCAAAATTTTGTTAATACGAAATCTGGTCGGGAATTAAAATAAAATTCCATGTCCAAATTAATAGTGAGGTTGCTGTATCTAAAAAACCTAATGAATGCGACATCATCAAAAAAGTAAAAACAGATCATCTTTCTGATAAAAAAAAGTGTAAAGAAATTCTATATGTGAACATGAATGATCCAACACATAATGGATGATGAATGAATGATCCAATATGCAATTCTTCTGAAGCACTAAAAAATGAAGTGAAAAGTATGATGAAATTCTAGATGTGGCTGATCCAATATATAATTTTTCTGAAGCATTAAAAAATGAAGTGAAAAGTATAATGCAATTCTAGATGTGAACATGAATGATCCAATATATAATTTTTCGGAAGCATTAAAAAATGAAGTGAAAAGTATAATAGATGCGAACATGACTGATCCAATACATAATTTTTCTGAAACACTAAAAAATGAAGTGAAAAGTATAATGAAATTTTAGATGTGAACATGAATGATCCAATATATAACTCTTCTAAAGCAATAAAAATTATTCAAAATCTGAGGTTTGTTGAACATTAAATTAAAATAAAGGTTGAGTTATTTTGTGATATGGATAACAACAAAGTAATTATAAATAACGTAAACTTAAGCAAACAATTACATTATTTTTTAAGAAAATTTAAATAATGTATGTGCAATTTAAGTGTACGTACAACAGAGATTTATGAATTACTTATTTATGAAAATGTTATCCAACTTATACACATCATCCTTAAATCAAGTAAATTACAGGTTCTTTTTGAGTATATAAGCTAAACACAGTTTCATATTGATAGTATTTATTTATTTTTTTAAAAAATGTATATTTTGGATAATTTGAATTTTCTTATCTTCCCTTTCGAATTTGAATTTAATAAGAGTCCACTGTAAGAGCAGGTTAATTAAACGAAAATGTGAATAGATGATGCTTAAATATTTACTTCCAGCATTCTAAAGGGGATTCATTTTAAAATGATGGTTGCTTAAATGCCATAATTAGAAAATCTGGAAAATAGCAGACGGCCCAATTACTAGTTTGAAAATTAGGTGGATGTGCACTAGACAAGGCATTGTAAAAAAGCTAGGGGGAAAAAAAACTATATTTCAATTATGCAATTCGTAAATCATATGAAGTGAAAAAATTTAGTTTTTAAAAATGCATAGGGATGATAATAAGACTTTGAAAAGAAAAATTTGTGGAAATTAACGTCATGGTGTAGCAAATATTCCTTATGGCATTATTACCTTCAACATGTCAAATACCTTTCAAATATATTGATTTTTTTTTTTGGGGGGGGGAGGCAAANGGGGGGGGGGGTTATATAATTAGAAGGTCATAAAGTATGTCAAAAAAATAACTGTCAACCAGTGTGGAAAATATAGGCTTACTCTCATTTAAAATTCCTTTCAAAAAATTCATATTTTCATTTATTATATAAAATAATGTTTTTTTTTATTTTTGAATAATTAGCACAGCATTTAACAACAAAATTGCATTAATACAACTTTGTATAAACTAAATGTAATTCCTTCTAACAAAGATTTACAAAAAAAGCGGGGGGAAATCATGACTGCTTTACTAAACCTAAAAAAAACAGCTAATTTTAATGAGATATCACAAACAAATATGCATTGACAAACGTTCAATTGATTGCAAAATGAAACAAAATTAATAAATTGAGGACTAGAAAGGTCAAAAGGCAAACTTCCAATTATACAATAAATGTGCACAGACCAGCTAAAAGTTTTCAAAATGAGGAAATGCAATTAAAGATATGTACAGCATTGTAATGGAAATGAAATAATGCTTACACTAAAACAGTTAACGCATGAAATGAAATTTTATGATAATATAAATGTAAGAACTCAGAAAACCAATCATTTTGAATTTTACTAAAATGTTAGTTATTTTAGTCAAAACATTTTGTTATAAAATTAAAACTTCTTTAATGTATATCTAAAACAGAGGAGAAATACGATTTTTCCGATCAAGATACTACAGTTTTAAACCTAGGAACAAAATTAACTAATTTTAAAACAAACTTGGGAGGTAACTTGAATAATTTATTAACCAATAAAAAGCAATTTACACTATACGTTGAATGAAAAAAAAAATTTTTAATTATTCTAACTCTGATAGAAAAACCTTAATATAATTCTTTTTTAAAAAGTAAGAAAAAACTCTGCATTCATATGTTCAGTAAAGTAACATGTTAAAAAGGGCATAATTTACAAACAGTAGGTATAAAATACTTTTTTAAACGTATCAAATGAAATAATTTGTCAAAATTTCTGGAAAGTGCAATAGAAAAATTTTAATATGTGTCAAAGTTAGCATAATTATTGAATAATTTTTAACCAAAAAAAAATTTTTTTTTTATTCATCAACAACAGTTTAAAATGGAAAATAATTCTGAAAATTAATCATAAAATTGCTCAAAATATTACCTCCCTTTTCTCTGTGAAAGTTAATTTTAACATGTTTATATTACAAAAAATAAATGCAGAGTTTTCTATAATGAGAGAGAAATCATAATTTAGAAATGAGGACTGCTTTAAATGAACAATTCAAAAAAAAGATAACTAATCTACAGTAAACTACCTTCTCTGAATCCAACAAAATTTCCTCAAAATTAATGTTATGTATATCACTAAAATGATTGCTAGTTCGCCACTAATGATCTAAAATGAGTACAAAAATAATGACTTGAACTGGACAGGTTCGGATTATTTACTGTATATTTGTAAATTGAGTCAGAAGCAACCATGCAAAATTAACAAATGAATCTATACTTTGATATAGTAGGTAGGATAAATGAAATCACACTATGACATATGAATGGGTTCATAAAAAATTTTGAATCTAATTTATTAACACGCTAAGACAGGGGATGTCAATTCTACAAGATCCATTGACACTTTTTTATTATAATGGATTGTAACTTTTAAAAAATATTTCAAAAACTATACCCAACCATTTTCCTCTATGCATGTACGAATAATATTTGCATTTATGTACAAAAAGATTGAGTATAATGAAATAAATCATGACATATAATACTGTATAATGATTTTTAAAACTTTTTTTCAACATTGATATATTTGCATGTGTATGCAAAACTACAAAAAAAAAATTATTTTAAGAAGAAAAAAAAACACCTATCTTGAATTCTTACTATAGCAAATTCCCAGCAAAAAAATGTAACTCAACGTTTAAACTATGGATTTTTGCATACTAAGGGAAAAAATTACAATTTTGTAAATGGGTTTGATTTTTGATAAATTAAATACGAACATTGCGAGATCTTTTTTAATTGAAAAATCTTACTTTAAACGGATCCACATTTTTTTGAGCCGACTGTTTCGGAATTCGACAAGTTTCCAATAGACTCAGCATTAGCAGTGAAATTAAAGTTCCCTTTAATTGATTCAGAGGGAAAAAATTAAATAATTTAAATGATTCAGGAAAAGATTAATTAGCTAATTTAATTGATCCAGGAAAGGTTCCTAACACCCTTCAAAATTTTGTTAAAATCTGATGCCAATACTAGACTAACGCGTGCAGTACTACCTAATTAACAAACAAAATGACTTAAGAAATGCAAAATATAATTTTAGTAATAATAAGCAGCCCGAAATTAAAGCATTTTTTCAAATCAATCTACCAAGTTTATAGATTAGTCTATAGTATATAGTCTACCAATCTATAGATTTAAAATTAGAGTAAACAAATAATGATTGGCACTTTATAAACCCATCCTTATGTATTAAAAATATATTACTGCATGCACTAGTTCAAAAGAGATGTCCATAAAGATGTCAGTGCCAAAGAACAACCAGAATGCACTTCTATTTACCGGACGCTGAGTAAGCTATGGAAAAATAACAGTGGTGACTATCAGTTATGATTTTTTTTTTTTTTTTTTTTTTTTTTGGCATTTTCAGGTTGACTTTGGATACTGTATCAAATCATTGACGTTGATGCAAGAGAAATCTACAGGATCATCCATTTCAGATGAGAACTCCATGTTCATAAGGTCATAGTCCACTTCGGTGATCGCAGCTCCAGTTCTGTCAAAGACACAAACCACAGAGATTATTAGTTTCACATCAAAAAAACCTCCGTGACTTGTGCTTTGTTTCAAGAAAGTGCATCCTGGCTGAGACTTGTACACAAAATTTATATTTAAAGAGAGATTGAATAGAAAACTAGGCGAATTAATTTACAAAATTATGGAAACACTGCTCTGCAAAGTTTCTTCTCAGCGATTTTTTACCTGTCAAAACTTTATGTGCATTTTGAAAGATCATTATCAAAGTTTTTCAAAATCGTACTGCTCATGTCTGTAAAATTAAAAAAATTGCTTTTAAAAATAACAGTAATTTACTGGTCGTAAATTAGTTTTCCCAAGCAAACGCAATAAGAACAGCATTTTCTTTCTCCCAATAAGATTGCGAATGTCAAACCTGTTGAGATATTTTTGGAAGATAATGAATACAGCTTTCAAAAAAGTCAATATTTTACCAACACAATGTTTGTACTATTATTATGTGTAGAAGTTGAAAATCTGGTTCGTATTAGAAAAGCATAAAAATTCAAAAAAAAATTGTTTGCTGCTATCCCTGATTTAATGAAGAAAATTTTATAAATTGTTGATTTAAAGTTTTAAAAAAAACTTATGTTAAACTCTGTCTGTACAAATTTAATGAAAAGTTATTTAGAAACATCTGGAAAATCATCCCAATATTATTGTCAGAAGTATAAAATTTCATAAAAATTTCATTCCTTTTAGTTTAAACTGAATTTTCATAAACAATGAAATGTAACATTTGACTAGTCATAAATAATAGGCAATAATGAGCGATTACAATTACTAACAATTGAAGCTTCTTATGTGTCTGATAGTATTAGCATTTTTCTGATTTAATATATTTGTTATTTCAGTGTTTTATCTATTTTAGCAACGCACATCGTTTATAATAGGTAAATGCTAAGTTTTTCAGAAAAAGAAAATAGAAATTTTATGACTAAATGACAACTGCTAGTGTTTGCAGCAAGTTTCACTTTTCTTTTTTTACAACTTTGATACTATATGAAAATAAATAGAAACTTTGAAAAGTTTTTAGCAATCCGAAATACAATTACAAATGCATGAAAAAGAGTAAGAAAGAAAATGTGGACGCGACTAATAAAATGATTTTATGCTCAAAACCCTATTGTGTTGGTGATAAACGCAATGAGTGTCAAACAATTGCAGACAAAAAGTCCAAATTTAAATCATAAACAAAGCTAACACAGTTTCTTTTAAAAATATATATAAAAAAAACAATTAAAGATCATTTTTAAACATTTTCCAATTTATTTTCATATATTAAAGCTTTTATTTTTATGATTGTGGCAAAAGCATGTTTAATAGACTTTTGTCCTATTGTTCTTAATATAAACAAGTTTGAACTTTTATAAAAGGCTTTTAACATGTTTTGCCTAATATTATTAATATAAACTTTGCATAGACAACATTAGTACTTTTCAAGAAAGCTGTATTCATTTATCAAAATATGTAAGGAATCATGACAAGCAAATCTTTGAGTAGCAAAAAGAGGAAAATGCTTCTCTGAGAGAAGATGCTTAGGTTTTTAATTTATGAAAACCAGATTGTAAGCTAATGTAATCATTTTTGTTCTTTTTTAATTGAAAAATAATAAAGAATAACTGTTATTCAAAACAGAACAAAACTTTTTCTGAAATTCAGATCTTTGGTCTTGTTCCTTCAAACTACGCCAAAAGTTTTGACACATAAAATTTGTAAGTGTAATTACAATAAGAAATCTTATTCCATAACTTTGTACTCCTATATTATGTTAATTGAGCAAAAATATAAAAAAGGCAGCCTCATGTATTAGTATTATTTTTCTCTGATAAAATTACTAATTGAGAAAAAAAATAACATCCAAAATATAATTGCTTTTTGTTACTTTTGCAAGAATTAAAGAATAATCAAGTATGTGGCCATTCATTATTTCTTTCAAATTAAGTTTCTGCTGAAAATTATAACATATTTAAGCAAGATTTTATGACTAACTGTAAACTTGACACAATGGACTAAAAAATTAGGATGATGACATTTAGATTTCTGATCTTAAAAAAAAAATTCAAATTTAAAAAAATAATTAGTTTTTAATTAAGAAAAAAGAAACTTAATAAAACCTCTCTTTATTAACCCCAAAAGCATATGAGAAAGCTATGATTGAAAGAATTACTTGTAAGTACTCAGGTAGAATGCACTTGTTGAAAAATACACAGACACGGATTAATAAATATTATTCATCAAATTCTACAGATGAAATGTTTTTAACTTAAAAAGAAATCATTATATGAATTTGTAGGATAATTTTAACTTTTTCATTAGTTTACACATTATTAAAATTAATTTTGTGTTGATTTTAATAGTAGGTTCTTAAAAACTGTCACTTTTAAACATTGGAATTCAATAGAGAAATATTATATACAAATATAAAATATAAACATTTAAAATTAAGCATTAAGAAAAAGATTTCATACACCAAAAGTTAAAATACTTCATACGAAATTCCTTGCATTAATAAAGCAAATTCCATTTTCTTTTTACTTATTTTGTAAAACATCCAAGTCTAATGAAAGGTACTTATAATTGAATTACTTACACTAAGTTTAGAATTTTGCTGAAAGTAAGAGCATATAACATTATACACCTTTAGCCATAACTTCATAGGTGAAACTATGATATAATATATTTTCTTTAACAAATGCAATTTTTATAAAAAAATTTCAGCAAAATCAACACATTTTTATAATTAATTAAAAAAAACTTTTCTACAACAGCTGGAATCATTACTTTTTCCTCTTTCTTTCAGCAAATGTAGGAAATCAAAGAGAAATATAGAACCAAAATCTTCGGAATTAGTTAAATAAGTTTGAACGTCACAAAGTCTTTAAGGGAAAATTATTTTTTAGAAGAAATAAAAGCTTTATGTAAAATTTAAAAAAAATAAAAAAAACTTGTAAGATATTTTTTTAGGTATTTACAATCAATGGCTCTTAAATGTTTATTTTTATTTTAAATCTCAGCTCATATTGAAAATAAATGTGAGAGCAAATAAAATCCTTCAGACCTTTAATCCAGAGACAATCACCCATTTTTAACATTTATTGCCCATTGAGAATTACTTTTAATTATTTAAAAAGTAGTTTAGCTCGAAAACTTAGACCTTAAAATAGAGTTTGTGTCAAAATGAAAGCTAATTAATTAAAGATAATAACAAGCTTTTTAACAAAATAAAAGAGAAGTAAGGTTATTCCTGTAAAGGACTTTGTTTAATCAGTATTTAATCAATTATCTGATAATAAAAGCAAAAACTGCTTTCTTCCTTAAAAGTTATTTAATTTTAATTGTAACAAATATCTTCTTAATTCGAAGTGAAAATAAAATATTTAAAATATATTGATGAATATTATAAGATATATTGAAGAACCAATTATTACAGTAAAAAATATTCAAGTTACCACCTACTTTCCCACCATACAAATGAAATAACAAGCCTTAAAAAAAAAATTCACAAACCATCATCTAATATATAGAGCTAAATGTTATCATCAATTCAAAATACATTATCAAATGCACACAGCAATTACAAGTGATATAATTTAGGGCAAAGGTTAAGTACACAAGAAATTATGATGCAGAATACAACATTAGTTGTATATTTAAAAAATTTGAATCGTACTTATTGAAAACATCTCAGATAACAAATATCTTTGGTAGATTTAAATTGAAACATAATAACCAGACATAACTGTTAATACGATATAAAACACAATTTAAACTTAGAAACATAATTAAAGAACTTTGATAATCCAAATGTAAAAATAAGTAGTATGTAGCTAAAAAACTTTTAAAAATAATCATATTTAGTAACTTAAAAAAATTATATAATTTAACATATTGATTAAAAATATATTGCTTAAAATTATACACTAAAAAATCCAAACTTTAGCTACTTGTAGTTTTTAGAATTATAAATAAATTATATGCAAAACTAGCCTTTCAATTAGTGGGATTTAGAAAAAGCTTCAAACTTTTGTTAGGTTAAAAGTTCTTAATTTGAGGAAATCAGCAAACCAATGCTCTTGGATTTGGGAACTCTGCAATATTTGTGCAAAAATAGCCTTTCCTGCTTCTAGTTTTCAGACCTAGAAGAATGATATGAAAAACCCAGAATTTCAGGGTACCCCCAGAATATAATCACCCCTGAAATAGGCAGTAAAGTTATATTTGGTCATAGAAATAAAATTAATATTGAAGCAATTCTTAATTTTGAGGCTCAATTATTGTAAAAAAATTAACAAAGCCTTTCAAATATTATACAAAAGAATAAATTACTTGCATGAGATATTACTGTGGAGAAGCAAGAACAGTAAAGTAATGAATAAGCTTATTGAAAAAAAAAAAAATCTATTTATACTCCTTTCATTGAAATAAAAAAAATTTTAAAGAGTCAATTCCTATGTATTTTAATTCCTATTATTATCAATAGTAATAAATTTATTGTTTGTATAGAACTTTCTGTTGCAGTTTAAATTCATAATGCATGAATCAATAAAGATATTTTTGAAGTCAAGGAAAAGGAAACATAACAACATTTATTCTTACTTAATTATAACATGGCAAGAAGAACAATGTTTCCTTGATATAGAGTAAATACTTATAAATGCTGTTGTCATTGAGAGTAGTGTTGAGGAGACAGAGACAATACCTAATTATCATATTTACAAACATGACATTTTAAAATTTATTTCTAGACTAAATTAAGCTAATTATTTCTCCTTTTTATTTCTAGTAAGGCTGATAGATTTGAAAGCCAGCAATGCTTCCAAGCATAAGAATGTTAAGCTCAGTTTTTTTTTATTTCTTTTATATAAGCCTAGCATCATCTAAGAGTATTCATCGAAATTTGAAGAAAAAAAAATTTTTGCATATGTTTTTATAAATAAAATTTTATATCAAAAATAATATAATAATAAACAGCAGATTGTTTATGGTCGTAAAGTATTTATTAAAATTTAAAATATATATAACTGTAAAAATGAAATATATTTAATATGAATATATAATATAAACATATACATAACTGTAAAAATGAATGAATCTCATGTCTCACATTAATAATTGTCACCAAAGCTAAAATTTGTCATTTTCCAAATTTAAGCAAAACAATACAATATTCTCTGACATTTCCCGGACTTTGTTTTATGCGAAGTTTAAACTTTGATATTTCTTGATTGGTTGGGAATCCCAATTTTTTTACCAAAATATATTTTAGAAGTAATAATTTTTAATAAATAATACAATGAGGTGTTTCATAGCTGTTAAAGGAAAATCTCAATTAAAATTAATTATGTTAAAAATTTATGATTGCATTCATATTCTTTTTTAATACTAACCTGAATAGAATAATCTTAAAATAATTATAAGTCCTAGAATAGCAAAATTTTTTGCACAATAAAAATAATCTTATTAACAAATATTGTCTAATAAAATAGTTTTCTTCTGAAACACTGCAAAGATGTGTAAAATCAAGCTATTTAAAACTTAGTGACAAAGCAAACACTGAGATTCTTTTTTATCTAAAAAGATGTTTATCTTATAAGGTATAAGCATGTAAAATTCAAACAATTGTACCTTCTGTTTAGTAATCTATACTAAAAGCAACATCTACATTATTAATATAACAGTTATAATCACAACATTGCATAAATATTATTTTAGCAAAAGCACTGTTACAATGTCAGTTTTTTAAGTCAGAAGCAAGGACATTGATAACTGTAGTAGTGTGACAATATAATTGACTATTAGTGTCTTTGTATAATACAATATAAAGGTACAGCTCAGTTATAACTTATTTAAAATACAGTAAACTCCCTTTTAACTAGCGTAAATCGCATAAAGCCCCAAGCAAAAATAGTGGAGAAATAAAGAATTATATAATAATTTCTGCTTTAAATTCAACACATTGTGATTGCAGTCTCCTTCATAATTAATACACCGGGATATAATACAGAAAAAAAATTTCATAATTCATACAGCATAACTGAGTGTTACTGGTCACATAATCCTATGCAAAAGTGCATTGACAAGAAGTTACTTGATTGTAAACTAAACCGCATGCGCTGTGATCAACGAAGTGTTACAAATGGATATTAATAGATTCAATCAAAATTAGATCGATTTGATACGTAACAATGATCAGAGTCTAAAAAAAGCGGGAAATTTTAAAAACACTATTTCTCAGACATTTGTTTGTTATGATGGACTCTTGTCTTTTTCCTGTTTATAAACACAGCAGCTGAAGAACTGATTGAATACAGAGATGAAATGAGAGAATTTAATGAAAAGTCGCTCACAATATGAAGAATGAAAAAAGTAAATATGAAGAATTTAAAAATACTACAGTCCATATCGTTTTATCGGTTCGTCAATTTAAAACAGAGATAGAGTTAAACAGAAGCTTGTTAAAAGAGAGTACTGCATTAATCTAACTACATAGTTAATATTGATATGAGCAGGATAACTGCTGTGTTTAAAAAAACCAAGTTTTAAGCTCCAAACTTTGACAGAATAACTGGAAAATATTCTGCATACAAAATTTGTGATCAAATACAAATATAAATTTCATAGTTGTGAAAAAACATTAACAATATGAAGACTTGTTTTATAAAATATAAATGGTCAATCTAAATTGTAGTTACAAAAATCTTTAAACAATAAAAAAATCACATTTGCCATAAAAGGCTTCTTTTTTTAATAGAAAAAAAAGAAAGGAACAATAGTTCTGGATATAGTTCTCAGACTTACTGCATATCTGAATGCGGATCATGGTATCCAGGTTCGGGAGATTGCAGAACAGAGGATTGTGGTGTACCTGGATAGCTGTCAAAGCCACAGGAGCCTGACCATCTAAAATATATTTTTTAAAAATTGTCAATTTAGGGTTCCTAGGAAACATTAAAAATACAAAACTATTTGTTTATGGAAAACAAATATTCAATTTGCAATTCAACTCTTAGTTACATTCAACTTCATTTAAGAACATGTTAATGTCTAAAAAGCTGTTAATTTCAGAATAAATCAATCATCCAAATATCCAAATGTTGAACCACAATTTAATAACTGCAGATACTTCTGCTGTCTTTCGTTAAGAAAAGCACATGTTGTCAACCGAAAGGGTCATGTTTGAAGTTTAAAATTTAGAAATGATGGATACAAAGTCGTCAGCATTGCATCTTAAATTCACTGGTAGATACTCAGCAATCTAAACAAGGAGTCACGATCGCTCAGGGGATAGAGCGTTTGCCTCCCAATGAGGTGAACCGGGTTCAAATCCCAAGGATGGTGGGTCGATACAAATACCACACCCGGCTTGCACCGATCACAGTGCTGACATGAAATATCCTCAGTGGTAGACACATCATGGATTATAGTCCCCTTGCCATCAGGCTAACCATGGGAGGTTCTCGTGGTCTTCCTCTCCATGTAACGCAAATGCGGGTTGGTTCAATCAAATTGCCCTCCACGAAGGCAAAATTTCTCCTAATATTTAATCCAGGAGTCCCCTTGTGTTCCGGATAGGGTTCAAAAGTTACGAGGCTACCGAGTTGAACAATAGTAGTCACAAACCAAAAAATTGGGTCGGCTGTTCAACGTCGATTATAAAATAAAATAGGCTGGAAGGGGCCTTCAAGACACCAGCAGGGATGGTACTCAAGTCATACACATTGGCAGCTCAAGCGTGTCTTAATCACAGAGTCATGTTTTTAAAACGAAATTGAAATAGAAAATAAACCACTAGTGTTAAAACAAAATTAAACATACATAAAATTTAAAACTCCAAACAACTAATTAACAATTCTCAATAATTTATACATTTGTGATTGTACTGTTAAAGTCGTATATGTGGTTAATTGTAATTTAATTTCAATAAAATTATATTAAACTGAAAATGTAGCTAGATTAAATAAATCTTTTTTTAAAAAAATACAAATTTGTTCAGTTTTAAAAATCTGCCTTACCCAGGAATTTGAGTGACAAGAACAGGGCGAACATATCCATTTACAGTCGGTGGTTGGTTTTCTGAAATAATATAAGGATACTATTATTGATGATAAAAAAAATTCAAAACTGTTTCTTAAAGCAGTAAGACAATCATTCAAATCAAAACGAAATATAAAAAATACATCTGAATAGACAAACTAGGTATTAAGATAAAAGAAAACAAATAACATGACTTTAGCTAATTGGATAACAGACTGACTTTTTAAAGTCTGAAATAATCGAATCACATTAGTCTAGTTCATAGGGTTCTCAAAGTGGGTACTATCACCCTCCAGTAAGCGGTGTTGAGTAATACTATCTGTTTACTAATGAGCAATTACATTATGAAAAAGTTTTTACAATATGAATAAATTTTTACAATATGAATAAGCTTCACACACTATATGTGAATCAACGATACTAAAAAAAACTTACCTGAATAAGGTGTATAGTATCTGCCAAATGCTTGGTCTCTGTGTATATCAGGATATAAAAATTGCAGATTTTTTAAATCATAAATCCTGTCAGCCAAACTTCTTATGACAAAATCTCGACTCGTAAAAGGCTGCACCATGAGGATCTCTTGACCCTCTAATAAAACAAAACAAAAATTCATTAAACACAAAAGTTTAAGAAATCACTTTCATTTTTTCTTGTTCACTAGTTATTAAACTACCTCTTTGTTGAGAATCCGTAACCCAAGCAATCGTAACTCCACCAAGCTCAGAATCACTGAATCTGATCAAAAATGTGCCATTACATTTCTTCAAAAGCAATTCTTCAGTCCGTGTTCTTCCGACAAAACCCATTATGTGACTGAAAAAGTGGCGCTCAATTAAAAAAAAAAATATTGAAAGAAGAATCTGTATAATTAATGCCAAAACATTAAAGAAGTATAGTAAAATATATGCAAATTATTCAAATGTAATATTCTTAAAATAAAAAAAAATTGCATACTTAAACAAATTTAAGTGTCAAATGCTTTACAAATTAAAATGTGAGAATTAACCCCAAAATTGTGGAGACATTTTTCGCTGCTGCAAGAGAGCTCACTGTGACATGTGATAAAATTATTGCAAATTTATAGGATCTGTAATCAATGTGGTCATTGAAAGATCAATTATTTAAATCAGTGAATTGAGGTATGCATGAAGTATCAATAATGGGAAATATGAGCTTAAATACAAACTGCAAAATGCAATCACTCAAACATAATGAGAATTTGTCAGCTCTATAAATTTGATTTATGCTCTATCAATGATTGTCAAAATGTGTGATTCACATGCCATGTAACCAAATCTATTAGGAATTTTCATGAACTAATTTTTTTTTTTTTTTTTTTTAAGTGATCAAGTTAGGTGTATTTACCGTAGATTAAACTACACTACTCAGCAACATCTATACTGCAAAAAAAAAACTCAACAATTTAGCTATAACTATAAAAACAAAGAAAATTCCACATCATGTATGCAAATTATTAGCAAAATAATTCAAAATCAAATTAAAGTTGTTTTTTCCCCCTCTGTTTAAAAGAACTGAATTTCATCTCATTAACGGGATGCCTATAAAATTCATATGCCAGGAGTATGTTAAGAATTTAGTCTCATAGCTGACACTCCAAGTTTATTATTTTAGCAGTATTTAGGCAAAGCGAAATATAGTAAAATATATAAACAGAAATACAGTAAACAGGTAAAAGTGTAAATAGTTTTTAAAATAAAATTTCCATTTTGTCACCATTCAAATTAAGCACAATTGTGTTTAGTTAATGGCCATCTGACAATATTGAACTACTTGTCTTATTTATGACATAAATCATTAAAAATAAAATACAACTGAAGCTCAAATAATTTACCCATCATTCCACAAGTTTCTAAGATGCTCCCGTGTAACTTTCATAATTGCATAAAACCACTCCCAAAATGTAAATCCACGCTCTGGTAAAGGTTCTTTACAAAACTGGGACCAAGTCACCATCATGGAGTAATCTTGGAACTGGGAACCTAAATAGAATTTAAATTATTATACTAATAATCAAAGGAATGCTTAAATCAATAGCACATGTTCCTGAATTGTGCTTTTTTTTCATGAATCTTTCAGCTCAATCAGAAAACTTAAATATTTTAAACTTTAATAACACTAAGAAATTTATTAACAACACATTATTAAAGATATATATGGTTACATTTAATAACCTTTTGTCTATTATGGCTTATAACATAACTAACTTAAATTATTGAGATGTTGTACCTAGTTACTTTTACAGTTTTAACTTTGAAAACATGAATATAACCAAATAGACAGAATAATGAATTTTTTAATCAAAGTTGAAGCAGATTAAGTTGTTTATTTTCCCAATTTGATCCCGAATGTCAATTTTAATCTCCAAGAACTGACTTCCTTACTCAAAATAGAAGCTAAAAAAAACTATTACTATTAACTTTTTACTGTTTTTATCAAAGATAAAATCATGACTCTATTTAGAGAATGTCCTTTATTTAATAAAATAGGTTAATTTCAGGGTTTGTTGATTTAAATAAGCTTGATTTAAATCAAGATTTAAATCATGACTTAAGTCAAATGATTTTTTTAAAAAAATCTTTTTTTTTTTAAAAAATCATTGATTTAAATCAACTAATTTTTTCTATCTATATATATATTGATTCTAAAAGTTAAAAAGCAGTGTTTTAAATGTTTGATACTTTTATTATTTTCTTTTCTTAGTATTAAAATTTAATTTAAATTAATTGCTGCATTAATTAATTTTAGTTAACGAAATTACTTTCTTTCTTGGTGTGTGTTAAATTCCAACACATTTGAAATTACATTTTTAAAAATCTTTTGATTCTTGAGATTGAAAGTACAGATTAAAGTAAACATTTAATGCTGTCTTAATATAGACTTGCATAGCTGTAGAAAGTAATTAATAAACATGAATTTTTTTCAAAAAATAATACAAATAATGTTAATTAAAATTCTACCTTTTGAATGAAAAAGCGTGAATTAAAATCTACATCATATTTTATTGGTGGAAAATGTATATTTCTGAAGCTTGAGGTTATATTAAAAAGAAATTACCCTAATATGCCAAAAACAGAAAAAGAAAAAAAAAGGGCTGATGAATTCAGATGTTTTTTTCCTAATATAGTGTCATTCTTCCCTTTCAAACTCTTTCAAAGTCTATTTGATGCAGTAGGGTTATTAACTGGTATTTTTTTCTCATAATATGTTTACAGTATCTTTGACATTATCTGATTTTCTATAAAGAAATTTTGTGAAAAAAAATTCCAATGAGTACATAGATTTTCTAATTTTTTTTTTTTTTAGCTTGACTTATCTATTTTGATATAGAATTAAAAATGAATATTTTAATATAAAAATATATAGATTGAATATTTATTTATTTTTTGATGAATGACTACATTTATCAACACAGTCTGCTACATTTATTTTGTCATTTTAAAAATCGAGAAAGAAAAAAATCACAATTTTAAATTAAAGTTATGGTTTGCTAACTGAAACTTTGTTTTAATAGTTAAAAGTACAGGGGTCTGTCCAAGTCAAATTTACTTACCGTTTAACGGTCCTTTACAAATTCAACTTTAGGAAAAACGATAAAATAATTACACAAAATACTTTTTCTTAAAATTTTATTTTTGTGTCTCGTAAGAAACGATTGTCTCGTAAGAAACGATAAATCCATATTTTTACTATATTTGTGTTGACTTTTTAACATAATTTTTAATTTTCACAAAATAGGTACCTCTCAAAAAAACCCAGACAGACCCCTGAAGTATTCTTTAAATTCTCTATTTCATCTAGTCTTTAAATTTTAATCATGCATTTATTTCATAATGGTTGCTAGCATTCAAAGTCATGTATTAAAAAGAAAAATTATTTTAGTTAGAGCTTCTAAAATATTGCTACAATATAGTTTTAATATTAAGTTAATTTTGATATAACATTTATAATTTTTTTAATCATAAATTAAAGTTCTTACAGAGTATTTGAATAAAAATCAAAAAAATCTGATTTAAATCAAAAAAATCCGATTTAAATCAAAAAATCCAATTTAAATCAAAAAAATCCGATTTAAATCAAAAAAATCAGATTTAAATCAAAAAAATCTGATTTAAATCAAAAAAACCTGATTCTTTTGATTTGTTTTAAAAAATCACGAACCCTGGTTAATTTTATAGTAAAATAAATCATGCTTACAAAATTTTTTAAAAATGCAGTTATAATTTTTAGCCTTATTGTAATTTTATTAAATGAAACAATGCTAACATAATTGTGACTTTGAGTAATTGATGCTTTAAGTATTTTAATTTTTACATTCCCTTCCTTTAATTCTTTTTCACACTTAGGTCTCTTTAATTAGCAGGTAGTCATGCCTAACATGTCTTGGATTGAGTAGAAATTCTGCAGGATTTCCAGCCGGAACAGTCATTAAGTTCAGGTGGGACATCTATTAAGGACAGAAACAGTTTTATTTTTTCGTTAACAAGCGGATCAGTAACAGACCCTCCGAAATAAATACTCTGACGCTAAAGCAATCAACACATTACAATGATGGCTAGTGTCAAGTGAAGATACAAAATGCTATTTTTTTTTAATATCATCCGCATTTGGCTTTTATAATGGTGTGTAACTTTTAATTTTCGCAACAATGCAAAAAAAACTATAATAATTTTATCAACTTTGATGAAAGGAAATTTCAAGAACAAATACCTATAAAACCAATGTAAATAAAAAATTACACTCTGCAATAAATAAATAAATTTATTGTATTTTAAATTACAACTAAATAATAAATATGTAGCCAAATAATTTTTAGATTCAGGAATCAGCAAAAGAAAAGGTATCGATATCACTAAATCAAAATATTTTAACCTACTTCTGAAAACTTTAGCAGCTAAAAATTGCAGATTATCTTCAGTTAATCCTCGACCAGTGGCGGATTTAAATTTTGTACTAAGTACTTCTGCCACCTCAGTCCAGCTGACTTTTTCTGGTACTTGGAACGGTACTCGCCCCTAAAATAAATATTTAAAAAAATACTTGAATTGTAATTTGGTTAGTTAACTAATATCAAATTACATGCTTTAATGAATTCACTAACCAAAAAATATTTCATGAAATTGCATTAAAAACATGTTAAATATAATCCTTAGAAAGAATAGAGATAAAACTTAATAAGTATATATTTCCAGCTTTTAGCTTACTTTCACCAAGAACAGTTAATATAAAAGATACAAAAATTAGTCAATTATATTGAGTTTAAAACAAAAGGGGAGAAAAAAGTTGCTATAATTTTTTTTAAAAAAAAGCCGAGTTAATATTATTCTTGTTTTGGCATCACATGAAGAGAAGAAAAGGCAGTCATTCTTTTAACCATTTACTACCATTTAGAATCCTGACACTTTGTACTTCTAAATTACAGTTAAAGATGTGAAATAACTATTAGACCATATCTTACCCCCCCCCATATGATAAGACATTACTTTTACACTTACATTATTTCTTGGTATTAGTTTATAATGGATTTTTGTCTAACTACAAAAGCAAAATATTAAGAAGCTGATCCATTAAGATTTCATTATAGCTTTGAATATTATTAAACATCTTTGAATTTTCCAAGTATTATTAAAATTTATAAAACCAATTGTATTGTCTCTGTCTTTGTGAGTTCTTATTTAAAAGGGCTTTTACTATATTCTGATAAATGTCAATAGGGCAGTACAAAATTTTTTATTGTAATGACTTGACCTCAAATAAATAGAAATCTTTTAATATTGAGTGTCAGTTAAAGTAAATTGTGCAACACATAAAATTTGCAAGTTGAATTGGTCAAAACAGGATATATAAACAACAATAAAACTAAATTGTTGGTATTATCAACATCAACTTTGTTAGATACTGCATTGGAATTTGAAAATGAAGAAACACAAAATAGAATTGTAATAAAATAAAAAATTTGATTCAATTCCTTAAACTAAATCCATCAAGTTTTAATTATGAAAACAAGAAGAACTTACCTTGCATAAAATCCCTTAACTTGGACAATAAAGTCAATTTCATTAATGATATAGACAACTTCTAGTTTTGTTTTTTTTCTTTAACATTTGTCATAAAAATAAGGAAGTATATTAACCAAAACAATTAACTACATATTGTTTAAAATACTAAAAGTCGAACTTTTGATAGGTTAAATTTTCTCTTTAGACCCACAAGATTTGAATCATCACAAATAAATTCATAAACAAATCTGAGACAAGTAAAAAAAAAAAAATTTCAAATTTCAAATTATTAAAGAGCATTAGATATTATTATTAAGAGAATACATGAACAAATATATATATATATATATACATTAGTTCAGAAAATTAATCTATTCAATTCAACACAAAACATTTTATACATAAGTTACCAGGTTATTTAAAAAAAAATCAAATATAGTCCATTTCAACCTGCTAATATCTTTTATCTTAACCTTTTTGCAGTTTGAATTTATTTTATTTAAATATTAAAATCATTTTATTAACATTAAAGATAAATCATTCTAAAAACACAATGAAGTAGAAGCAGTTTTTAAAGATTTTGACACTCCAAATGCACAATATTTTTTTACATATTTTAATACAAATTTTTTTTTTAACTAAATTAAACAAATGATAGATATTAAGACTATACAGGGTGCGTTCTGAAAGTAATGCACATTTTCAGGGAAAAATAGATTTATTCTTCCTATGGGTACAAATGTTTAAAATTCTTCAAAATAGTTACCTAGCGCATCAATACACTTGCGGAGACGATTCTGCCACGTCTGGAAGGCACCCTGGAACTTCTCGACAGGAATGCTTCTCGGGAACCTTGTAACATGAGCTTGGATGTTCTCCACCGACTCCCAGTGCTTTCCCTTCAGCTCTCTTTTCAGTCGGACGAGCAAAAAAAAGTCACACGGCGCCAATTCAGGGCTATAGGGAGGCTGGGGCACCAACTCATCAATTCCAGCAATTCTTCACTGCACAAAACTCAAAATTCTTTTTGCTCCTCCGTCAACACCTTCGGCACAGACCTTTCGCATTTGCAAATCCTCCGTCACAATCCCATGTACCACACATTATGGCAAGTTTAGGGTGTTAGCGATTACCTGAATGCTTAACCGACTGTCTGACTTCAAAACTTCACGCACATGCTGGACGTTTTCATCGGGTCGGGCTGTTGTTGGGCGTCCAGAACGAGGCTCGTCGGTGACTTTCTCCCGACCCTCCTTGGAGGCCTTGTGCCAACTTCCACACTGAGATCTCGAAATGCATTCCTCCTTAAAGTCGTCTTGAAGCATGTGATGAATTTCCGTTGCACTCTTCCCAAGTCGCACACAAAACTTTATCACGTACCGCTGTTCCAGCGAACGAAAACTCCATCACGCCGTGACTCGATCGGAAAAAAAGACTTTGCGCAAAGACACGTCCTACCACTCCTACTGCTCGGAGCGACCTGAGACCAGGCTTGTTTGGAAGAACAAATCCCCCACCACATTTTTTGACCTATCTGAATGCGCTGCGATTAATAGTCGCGTCACAATAAAATCATGCGTATTACTTTCAGAACGCACCCTGTAGATAGACCAATTAAGAATTATGAAACATAGACAAAGGATGGATAGACCAGTTAAAACTATCAAGAGTAAAACATAATTCAAGATAAACGGGAAAAGGTGGTTTAACAAAAATTTTTATCAATTGAGGATAAAAGATGGACAAAAATGATAAAGAAAAATTACATAGTTTTCTAAGATAATCGCAATACCCGTATATCGTAGCATCATTACCAACAACTAATGATGAGTGATAAGGCACTTCACTTTTATTTCAATAAAACTTCATTAATATCCTTTTCAGCAATTCACTTACCAAATGTTGTATTTTGCCAAATATATCCCGAAAAGCATGTATCTAAGTAAGCAAAAGAGAGAAATTTACAATTAAATTATCATAATCTTACAAAAACTCAGATAAGATTAAAGAAGGTATGTAGAAGTGCCATGCTCAGATGAGCTAGATGCAGATCAACAGTACGAAGAAACTCGATTCATATGCCAGCCAAACACGAAAGGAAAAATAATACTACAATTAGACGCTGAAAGCAAGCAAATAACAAGATTTGACAAAAGCCGTAAGTTTGTTCAACAATAACAAGACTTTACAAAAGCCATAATTTGTTCATGGGTACAAGTACAAAGAGCATCAAAAAATAAAATGATTTATACATGCTAAAATGTTATTTGAACAGTTCAAGGAGCTCATGTTAAGCATGTTAATCCTCCTAGCTTAAAGCCACTAGACAAATTTCTACTGAAATTCCTCTGTTAGATATTACTTTCCAATAAAAAATTTTCATTTCTCAAATTGAATTGGTAAAAAGCATTTTTTTATGCATGGACATCAGCAGGTAAAAAAATTTTTTAAAAAAAATGCCACTACAAACGATTATAGGGTTAATCCGTCGGACACCCCCCCCCCCCCAAANCCCCCCCCCCCGCAAAAAAAGCAACCTTTCTCCAAATTAGCATACAATTTCGATTGTGTGTTTGGATTTTTTACACACAAAATATGGCAAACAGTTTCAATCTGAATGATGTGGTCATGAAAGTTTAGTCAAAATGAGAATTTTAAATTTCTTTTTCTGCAATACCTCTAAAACAAAGAGCAAAACTCCTTGAACTATTCTTCCTTTTTTTCAGCTCATTGTACTATGTCCTTGCAGGTTATTAACAACAGACACATTGTATAACTTTAGAACAACACAAAACATAACAAAATCAAACTTTAAAAAAGATGCAACGGAAGATGTCTCATACTTCATTATTTCACACTTTCAAACACATTGCACATATTACGCACATATTTATTCAATATGCAACATCAAAACGTAATCATTAAGAATATAAAATTTGCAGCACACGAGATATAACACAAACACCACAAATTTAGCATGCTTAAAATGATGCATATAGACAGAAATCGTTTACAGATTTGCATAACTTACTTCCATCATATTGTTTACAATAAATTTCTACAGTTTATTTGGCTCATTTCACCCACAGAATTCCAGAATTCACCAGACTTACATTTAAAAACTTAAAAAAGAGATTCTTAAAACAGAAAATTGCGTTTTCAAATAATAATAGGAGCTGCTTGAGACAAGAAGAACAAATGTTCAATCAAAATTAAAGCAAGAAAAGAAAAATTGCACTCTCAACAAAACAATTATCATTACAAGACACAAAACAGCCATGATAAGACTTACAGGTTCAGCAAAAGCATTGTCCCAAGTAACAGTGGCCCAAGCATGTGGTTCTTGATTACCATGAACAATAACAACAACTGGCAAGGATAGAGTCTAAAATTAAAAATAATGAACTTTTTTATCAAAATGAAACCAAATAATATATAGAAATAAAAATAGTTTGAAGGGGAGAGCAAATTTATTACAATTTTAAATCTTGCAAATTCTAAGATGAATCTCTACAAGATAATACATTACTCTATAAAACAATTCAAGCCATGAATTTAACTCTATTATTAATAAATAATTTATAAAAATATTATTTTAACTTATAATGTACAATAGACAAAGCTTCTATTTTTTTTAAATATATATATATACACACACACAGTCGGACTTTGATTTAACGAACTTCCATTTAGCAAATTTCTCTATTTTGCGAATTTTTTCGAGGAACCAAGAACATTTTAGAAATTTCGTAGCAAACTAACTTCCAAATAGCGAAGTGAATTTTCCATTTAACAAAATTTTCTTTGGGATTCACTTTCCCTATTTCCCACAATATTTCAGAACATTTCAAACTTGTTAATGCATTTTATGAGGGAAATCAACTTAAATTGATTTTCGAAGCCACTTAACTTTTAGAGAAAGCGGTAAAATCGCTTTCCCTTTTTGTTAGCACTTCAAACGAAAAACTCAGGCAAAACTAACAGATTTTATCAGTAGCAATTCAACTTGAGAGCGTATGCAGTAGTGCATGTTTTAAATTACTTTTCAGTTATAATTTTATACAGTAAATTAATACAGCTATAATTTAATACATAAATTTAGTTTTTTAGGTTAAAATGTATGTATCATGATAGTGTAACACTGGTAATGTTTTGCTCTATTCCTGCTTTCCATGCAGATTTCTTTTATGGCCAAAATTTATAAAATAAATAGTTAGATACTAGTTTACAAGATAAAGGTGTATTAATTGCTATTTTAATTATGTCTAGCGTTTATGAATTTAAAACCTGTTTTGTGTTGTTTAAGTAATTCAAAAAATGATTTTCTATTTAACGAATTTTCCATATAACGAACTTATTATCGGGAATTAGCAGCTACGTTAAATAGAGGTCCGACTGTGTGTGTATATATATATATATAAAAGCCTTAAAATTTAGCAAATTCAATTTTAAATTAAATAAATAAATAAAAATACATTATTTCTTTGTGAATTAAATAACTTACATTTTGAGTTGTGCATTGCATTACAACTTGCAATGGAGTGCATAATTCAATCCACGCATACGATATATAAAAATTAAATATTTTTTTACATAAATCAATGACCTTAAAGATTTAAAGTTCTTCAAAGAAATGATCAGGAAAGATAATTTATTACTTACCCAAACTTGAAATACAAGTTCACCACCTCCAACTTTAAATTGAGATTGGAAAAGCAGGGAAAATTTTTCATCCATCACAGACTGTAATATTAATATAAAAATGAAGCACAGATATTCTTTTAAAACAAAAAGTTCTTTTTTTTAATTAACATCAAAATATATGATAAACATAAGTTTATATTTGCTCAACAATAAAATATTTATTTTTTAAAAGAAATAATAATGTTTTAAAAGAATAAAATACATTTAGTTTTAAAACTTGTGATAAAATATAAAACCAACATATGCTAAAGAACATTATATAATAAAATATTCTAGTTTTTCAGATAAATGTATTATTTAAGAAAGTAATATTAAAAAAATAAGGGTTATAAGTTAGCCTTTACTTAAAAATAGATCATTTTTATGTTTTTAAATTAAATATATTAAAATTTGCAGTTATTGATAAAATGTATCAAACACAAAACATTTTGCTAATAATATTTAAAAAAAAAAAAAAAAAAAAAAAAAAAAAAAAAAAAAAAAAAAAAAAAAAAACATTATAGTCTTTCTACGATTTGACTTACCTCAGTGCCTTTCTTCTCAGCTCGTTTAATCTTTCTTAATTGCTGAAAATAAATGATAAAATTAGTTGTGCAAAATTGATTTAGTTACAAATGCATTAGTAAAACAGCTTAAATGATATTTTAACTACAACAGCAACGAAGTAAAAATGAATATTTCTTAGCTGTTATCGCTTTCAAAAATGCATAAAATATTAGAGAAAGCTAAATATTTTGTAACAAATATATTAGATCTTTAAAAGAAAATATTTCAATATTCCAGCAACATTACATTTCAGTTAAAGAGAATCACTGATTTGTTTTCTTGTTACATTTATGCCATGGAATTATAAGAAGAGAATCACTGATTTGTTTTCTTGTTACATTTATGCCATGGAATTATAATGAAAGTGCTCTAAATTTATCTCTATGAATCAGCTTAATAAGAGCGATGATACTATATGCCAAACACGAATTTTGTTAACTTTAAAATAAACTTATGCATTGGATATTGCTTTCTACAAGTCATTACATGCTATATGAAAGTAGTTATTAATATTAACAGGGGTGATTGTGAGCCCAAGTTAAAATTCCGGAAAATTTCTTGAGTTAAAAAAACAAAAAACAAAAACAGTTTAAATTGAAAAATAAGAAAAACATTTGAACAAGTTTTTTTCTCCTTTTTCTCAATATTTCTTAGTTTACTCAAAATATATTTAAAATTTTACACATCCCTATACCATTTACATATACCTATGATGACCTGGAGAAGTAATTAAAATTTACAAATATGTCTTTCTTTCTAGAGTTTGTGATTATAACAACTATTTACTGATAAAAAATTAATATTAATCATGAATATAAGCTAATAAAGTACCTTTCTGGCTCTCCCTTACAAACAAATAAAATAAACTGTGTTTTTAAGTTCCACCACTGAAAATTTGATTTCCGGAAACTTCTGTGATCAATGATTTTTTTGAAACTTCTGGACCTTCGATCTCCGGAAACTTCCGGATCACTGATAGCAAAAATTCCGGAAATCCGGATTTTTTCCGGAACACAATCAGCCCTGTATTAACATCCAAAAGTAAAGCCTTTCCGTTGTGGACCCAAGGAATCAAAGAAGTTGTAGCTCCCCAATCTCTTGACCAAGTACATGATGGCGGCAATGTGGTCAGAATTGTGCACCACCACTAGCCTATTCTTTCCAAACCAACTTGTACCCATTAATTTGAAGCTGGTGAACTTCAATCAGCTGAGGATCAAACAAGCAATGCTTCAAAATGTAACTCAGTATTTTAACTACTAAGTCAGTAAGCTCAATGTTAACAGTATATTCTAGTTGATGTAAGAAGAAACATACACAAGTAGAAAAGCATGGCCATTAAGTTCAGACAAAAAAGCAATACCGTCATTATCATACTTCAATCCAGTCTAAATTCTAAAATATTTTTTGTCATAATAGTACATTATTTGTCATCATAAAGGAGTTGCCTTAGAAATTTGTTAATACATAATTATTAATATATTGTATTATTTTCTACACCAGAAAATAAATTGATTTTTGGATTAATACAGGAAACTACTAAATATGTTATAACAAAAATTTATCAATATGAAAGAGCCAGAAGTTTACAGACAACATTGTAACTGAGATTAAATTAGATTATTGCTGACCCTGACAAATTCTGAACTTGCCATCAAATAGAGCTCCGTCCCACTATCGAAAAAGGGGCATGGTAAACTGGGCACAAATGAAAATAGTTCACTCTTGTAGTAAAAACAAAAAGAGAAAAACTACCTACTGTCTTTTTTTAATGTTCTCAGCACCTTATTTGTATCTCAATAACACATTTGGAAGAAAATTGATCTAAAGGCTATTTAGGAAATTTAAATAACATCATGAAGGATTATAATTTAAGAAATATATATTTCAACCATATATGTTTGAACTTCATCAGAGATAGCTCCTGATATACAGTGAGGCAAAAAAATGGACCATCCTGAAAAACTTTTGATCTAATGATCGGATCTTGATGATTAAGGACTCAATCTAAAAGGTTCTGAAGGGTGACCATAAATATGCTGAGTAATTAGTGCAGACGATATTTTAAGTTACGAATTCAGACAGAAAAATGTACTTTCCCTGCATAAACATACCTTTTTTAGGACATATTCACATTTCTGATCGTTAAAATATATGGCGCAGCCAAGCAGTAATCTGCGAAATATGGTTCCCATAGTTTGGTCAGGAAAGCTATCCAAAGTTTGGACATTTTAATGTTAGTTTAACGTTTTAAGTATTACACCATATGTCAAGAACTTTTAAAGCGAATTAAAAGATTTTGTGCACAATTATACAATCCGTTCATCCAACGATAATTCCATACATAGAATAAATTTTAGTAAATATTTATTATTTTATTAAATAATAGTTGAAAACTTCTTGAATCGTAAAGTATACAATTTTTTACGTCATTTTGAAGTACGAAATTTTACATGGCAAAATACAAAATGTGATCGAAATCGGTTGAGTTGTTTCTGAGAAATAAAATTTTAATAAATTCTAAAAATTAAAATTAAATCTTTCAGGAATTATCTTGGCACAGATTCAACGAGTATATTCAACGAGAGAATGAAAAGTATTTTTGTTCTCTGAATAAATATAAACATACAAAATTGACTTTTTCAAAGGATTCAGACGTCTGTCCCCCAAAATATAAGGGATAGCCGCTATCTGGGAAATATGGTCCCCATAGTTTAGTTAGGAGATCGCTTTTAAGTCTGGACTCCTTAATATTAATTCTACTTTTTATGTATTTCGCCATATCACCAGAAATTTTTCACACTAAACATGCCAGCACTTTACAATACAACAAACAATAACTGGAATGTTTAGTGTTAAGCGAATTGAAACATTTTTTCTTACAATTACAAAATTCGCTTATTTAAAGATAAATCCTTACAAAAAATAAATTTTAGTAAATATTTATTACTTTATTTAATAATAGTCAAAAACCTTCTTTAAATGTATGGTATACAATTTCTTATCTCATTTTAAAGTATGTAATTTTACACAGTAAAATACAACATTTGAGCAAAACCGGTTGATGAGTTCCTATGAAATCAGATTTTAAACATACTTCTTTAAAATTCGATTTCTCAGGAACCATTTAGTCGATTAGTGATTAATCCATTTGTCATGCAAAATACATACTTTAAAAAGACATAAAAAATTTTATACCATATAATTAAAAAACATTTCTGACTGTTATTTAATAAAATAATAAAAAGTAACTATTAAAATTTATCTTTTACATGAAATTATCATTAAATAAACGAATTTTATAATTGTGTGAAAACATTTTTCAATTCACTTAAAAAGTTTGATATACAAAATAAGCAAAAAGTAAAAATAGCATTAAGAGGTCCAAACTTGGGACCGCTCTCTTGGCGAAAATATGGGGACCATATTTCCCAGATAGCTGCTATCCCTGATATTTCGGAAGTCAGAAATCTAAATCTGATGCACTAATTAATTGGCAAATTAGAGGTCACCCTCTTGACCCATTAAGTTTAAGTCCTAGAACGTGAAGATCCGATAATTAGATCAAATGTTATTCAAGATGATCCATTTTGTTGGCGTACTGTATATTTAAATCATATTTATTAGAAATAGCCCCTGATATACACACATAACAAACCAAAATTAGCCTACCATATTTCTGAAACTGACACTGAGTTGCCTGGTGCCTTGATGATATTCCATAGTTCCAGAATTGTTCAAGATTTCACCACTCGCATCACTAGAAAATTATTAAAAAAAATATTAACAGCAAACTTTGATAAAATGAAAAGCTTTCTGAAAACACAATATCTCAATTTAAAACTTTCTGCACACATTGATAAAATCTTGTAACTAGTTTCAACCCTTTTGTCGCCACCTCATTTTTGCAAAATTTGGTTGACTATCACGGATTTTCGGAAAAATTTTTAATTTTCATAGTACTTTATATTGATTCTAAGGGATGAGTTTGATAACAAAAAATTTTGATGTTTGATTTCAAAATTGCATTTTACGAATTTCAATGTTTGATTTTAAAATAGCATGAATACCAATATTAGTGTTTGATTGTAATTTGCATGAATATGAATTTCGATTTTATAAGTGTGTCAATACGAATTCTGATGTATTATTTTTAAGTTACTTGAAGCGGAATCATAATAGTAGCTTTTAAAGTGTGAGAATACAATTACGCAATATTTGCTATATAATTGTGAAAATGCGAAACATGATGCGTGATCTTAAATCCAGTGAATAAAAATCATGATGTGATTTTAAATCCTAATTATTTAATTTTAAATATTGTTTGCATTGGCAAGAAAAAGAGTAAAGAAATTTGAAAAAGACAAACTTTCTTTGAAGAGGCTGATTTTTCTTTTTTAGTAAGAGCAAAAAAAATTTACGCACTGACGGCAAATGTTCCACAAATGGCATTCGCACGTTTGTGTGTATTACACGGGTCTGATTATGAATTCTTAAAAATAAATTAAAAAATTAAAAAACATCAACTATTAAAACAAAAAACTTGAAAAATGAACTCTAACAATTTTTTTGACATAAGCTTTTATCTTTTTTCAAATAAATAATTAATCCAAACATATAAATATTAATTTATACTCTTCTGTTAAATTGTTAATATCATATATATCAAATGCAAAATGCAAATAAGTTCAAATATAAATGCAGATCTGCATATTTACTAAAAAATATTGAAATTTGCACCTAGAATAATAACAATAAAATACTGTGAGTACTTAGCATCTGAAAGTAATAGTTGAAAAAGAAAATTATCTTATGTTCAAATAGAAAATTATACACATCATTCATTTTCAGAAAATGAGTTTCGTAGGGCTAGGCTACTGACAATGTCAACCGTCATCTATCTAAAGGTACCTCCAGATAAAATAGACTTAACCTAACTTATATACTAGTGAATGGGAACTAAATTATAGTGGTAGCTATGCTACAATACTCTCCCAGAGTTTTATCTAGGATAGAATTCAATGAATGAATATCACTAATAATTCATTGCTGTTTTGTGAGACATACATTAAGATCACTGAACTTTAAACCCTAGTCGAGAGAGCTATAGAAAGATCAAGGTTGAGTGCTTGGTCTCTCCTATGTTGCTATTAGCAGTCTAGTGAGCACATGCGCCTGTTGCGTGTGATCGAGACTGAGTAACAAAAAGAGGAGGACAATGTTGCAGTCACAAATAGCAAGTCAACTGTTCACTGAATTGTATCCATCAAAATAGGTGTGTTCATATCGAAGTGGGCAATTCTGTTGAGGTAGGCAAGTTTAAATCACGTCTTAAAGTTGCCAATGTGGGGCTAGGCTACCAACAATGACGACCCATCATCTATCTAAAGATATCTCAAAGATAAAATCGTGTTAATATGTCTTATACGCTAGTGAATGTGAATTGAATAACTGTAGCGGTAGCTACGGTATAGTTTCGGAGTGCTTCCAAAATTCTTTTTCACTTATTAGGATGCCTGATACCACCATTCTATGTTATCATTGCACCATCACAAATTAAGTTAGTTCTTCATCAATACATTTAAAATTGCATCATTTGATTGATTTGTTTTTTGTTTGTTTTTTCATTTCAACCAATTCAGCGTCAAAAAAAAGTTACTTTTTTTTTAGAATAACCAAATATATTTTGCTTATGCATGCGCAATATTTGTAAGTATAACTAGCTATAGCAATTCTTCCTTTATATAACTATAAAACTATTTTCTAACAAATTAATATGAAAACAAAAATTAAAAATTTACTGTAACTTTAAAGTAAAATAGTAGAACTAATATATTGCTATTAATATACTGAATTAGTAATACCATCGGATTGTACAGAACTGATAAATCACAATTAAAACAAATTAAACAATAATTTTGTTTCATTTGCTTGTTTTAATTGTGATTAAAACAAGACTGCTAATAAAACCAATGATACAATTATGTTCTTCACAAATAAAACAAACAATAGAATTTTGGGGAGATAAAAAAAAAATTCTCTCACCCAGGAGCAACTTTGTCATTCTTTAATAGGGCAATGGCTTGTGATTCACTAAAACGAAGGCAAAATGAAAATTCATTACTTCTTATTTTACTATGATATATATCAAGCAAAAAAACAACAACAAAAAACTTGAAAATTTTAAAATTTTAATATTTTTAACTGATTTACTTATAATAAATACATTAAGAAATATACACTTATAATTAGCATATACAATTTGAGCAAAAAATTGTTTTGAATATACGGCAGTATTAATTTTCTCATAATGGCTTATCAACTTATAAAACAAAATTTCTATTTTAAAGACCTGACACAATATATCAATTTTATTAATTTGTATTAACATAAATTCTACAGCAAAAATGACAAATTCTATTAGAAATTCAACTCACACGCTTAATCAATAATTAAAATAAGTGCTAAATAATAATTTTGGCAAACGCATACTGTAATTTTCAATATGATAATTCATAACCACAGACAATTAAGATAAAAGGAAAAAAAGAAGAAAAAAAAGTCTATGGACATAATATCTTATTTTAAATCATACCTAATGATCGTAACCCTGACTTGAGGAGGAGTCATGTAAACACTTAATTTAGAGCCCACAAGGAGTCTCACCGTAGCAGTAAATCTAGTATTTGTCTTCATAACTTGAGGAGGTTGCTTTTCTATAATAAATGTGCTGTAAGGGAAAAAATATGATCCTTTTCATTGTGATAGAGATGAACAGATACATAAAATAATTATTTTCTAAAAAAAAGTAAAATGAAAAAAAAAATTTATAAAACTTTTTTTTTTATAGCACACACATAAGCAATATTCACAACATAATTCCAAAGACATAAGATAATTTAACAATTAAGATTACAGATATATTTAAATTTTTTAAGTGTTGTCAACTTTAATTAAAAAAAATTTATTTATAAGCTTTTTAAGAAATCATTTATAAATAAGTGAGAGCTAAAATGCAACAAAAAATTAAATTAAAACTCAATAATCTTAAAAAATCAAAATTGTGTTATCTCTTCATATTATATCAAAAGTAGCATAGTAAAACCTTATTTTATAATTGTATAATGAACAGTCAAATTTTATTAATACAATTGAACTAACAAATCATGTTCTGAACATATACACCAGTAAAATTCACATATTGAATTCACAATTACAAATAGCACACAAATATTTTTAAATCAAATACTATAAGGAATGAATACTTAAACAGACTTAAAAGATTGGGATATATAGATTTTAAAATTTAGAATAAATATGGCATTTAAACAAAAGCAATAGAATATGTTAATATTCTGGTACCATATTTAATTTGATTAAATTTACACTATTCTTATAATACTTATCACCACACAATTGTATTGATCGTTTTAAATTTCTTTTATTTTGTCAAGTTTCTTCCAGTTTTTTCTAGTGACCTGGGCAAAATAGGTTACTTACAGTTCCATTAAAAGTCAAACACAACAATTTATATCAGAGTTGAAATTCTGAAAAAAGTTCCATCTCTGACATAAACTGTTTTGTGTAATGGCTATGCAAGTACAAAAAGTGCCATTTTTTGAGATTTTATAAATAATAAATAAATACATAAGTTGGCATAAATAATAATTCAAAAAAAAGTATCTTTTTCAGTGAAAAAAAGTTTAAATTAGATTTAAAAAAGATTTTTTTTTTAAATATAAAACATGACTTGCATAGCAGTTAATTAAAACATTCAGTTGCATTGATTTTATCTTGGCAAGTACCTTGTCTACATTAACATTGATATATAATTTATGTCTGAAGTGTTATAATTAAGGCAGAATTATTGAATTAATTAAATCAATAATTAAATAAACTGATAGAATTTGTTTGTTTTTTTTAATTTATCATTGTTTGTATAAACCAGAATTTAAATATTTCACAACAAAAATTCTTGTAATAATAATATTTGTTTTACTTAACAGCGGAAGAAATTTAAAAGCACTGATTTATAATTGTAGTGATATTTTAACTCAAAACAATTATCATTCTACATCCTCATCATGTAACTTAAAACAATGTTCATCAATTAATTAGTTGATGAACATTTTAAATTATACGATGATGTATGGACAACTAATCGAGGTTTCTTAACCAACTTGATGTTAACCAAGTTTAAAGCTAAAACGTAAATAATTTCCTCATAATACTGTTTCATCATTGCTCTGAATATAAACAAAAACTAATTCTGAAGCATACAAATAGATTTTACCTCTCTCAAACACACACAAAGCAGAGCTAGTTCATTACGTAATATAACCCGTTGAACCTCTTTCTTTGCTTCAGAAATCACCTTACTTACAACACAACCTTACTTATAAGACAAACATAAACATTGAAACATAAAGAGTTAAGCGGCTCGGCCACATTTTTGTTGTGAATTATGTAATAGAACACATTTAAATGAGATAGACAAAAAATTGGGCTAAAAAAACAGCAATAAATATTTTTAATTATTTAGTAGAAACTAATTACCTTGTAACAAGTGAAGAAAGTAAATTAGTGATTCTAGTATTCAACATTATTAAATTATCTACAACAACTTGTCCGTGAGCATTCATGGGGACTTGACCGCATATATTTTCAAGTTGTTTTATTTGATGCCTATTTTGCCAGATAATATCAGCCAGGGCTTCACACCTAAAATAAAAGTTGAAAAGTAGAAATTGATTCAAATTATTTATAAATGATAACTCTTCAAACACTATCTGTGTCAACATGCAAGTTAAAATAAAGCTCCTAGATAAACTGCTAAGCTGAAATTATTAAAAGTAAAAATAAATACGCTATAATACACAAAAGTGAACTAGAAAATGTTCAAAATCAGCTAACTGTTTAACTATTTTTAACATTGATTAGAATAGCGCTTTTTTTTTTCTTTTTCTATGAAGCATTGGCAATTGTTCAAAAACAGGCACTAATGTTAAATAATACTAATGTTCATGTAATAGAAATACTAATGTTCAATAGTTCTAGAAAAAGGTTTGCATTTTTTGGGCATATAAGCAACAGTATGCGAAGAATCTAATCAATGATTTACAAAGCAAAATCTTTTGATAGTTTTTTCAATTAACCTTCATAATTTCAGTACTTTTGCTGCACTATAGCTCCAATGCTTAATTGGTCGTATGATTCATTACAAAACATAAGGAACTTGACATTTTTTTTGTTTAGCTGCAGACAATTTTGAACTAATTAAATTATTAAAGGGGCTTTTCTTTAAAAAAAAAAAAAAAAAAACTTTTAACAGAAAAATATAATTCCTATAAACATTTGAATTATTTTTCTTTCTTAACAGTATGAAAAAAATAATCTTTAGGAAGATAATAAAAACGTTCACATTAAATCAAAGCTATGCTCATATTATCAATTTTAAATAAGTTTTATAACATTCAACAATCCATTTATTAATTTCTTCCCTAAACTTGAAATCTCCTCATATCAGAGCTCATAATAACAGAGTTAAAATTAAAATACATTACTTTTGAAATTGTCTATTAAAGTCAGGTTGGCCAATCAGCAGCACGCATGCCAAAGTATGGCACAGCACAGTTTTAACAGTGAGACACAGATTTATTAGGAAACTTAAAAAATAATATTACCTTCAGAAATTAGTTAAAATCTATAACATTAGCATACATATCATATTGAATTTTAAATTTTTTTTCCCTTCAAGAATCAATTTTTCAAATTTACACAATTTGGATCCCAAATATTGAAACATACCCTTTTATAAACTAATAATTTTGAGCAAACATTCTCTTTGAACATAACATAATCAAAATATTCTTCAACATTATTTGATATACATCCATGACACCTACTTTTGTCAGTATCTGTAAAAACTAATCCTAATAATAGAAGACTTAGTAAAAAGTAAATAAATAAATTTAAAATGAAACATTAATGTGTACTTTTGTTTTTATTTATTAGCTTAAATTTAAACTACTCTGATATAATGAATTATCCCTGACATATTATGAAATAAGCTATTTATGTAAAAATCTCATTTGTAAAAATCAAAAATTATCAGCCTGCAAATAATTTTTTTTCACTTCCATATATATATTTGTGTTTTAAAAGTAGGAAGTGGCATGCATAATGAATTTTCATTCCGAAAGTGGTACTCTTCTCAAAAAGGACCACCTTTGTATTAGAAAATTCTAAAATACTCCGAAAATAAACTATTTTAATATATTTTGATGATAAAATCGTTTAGAAACAATTGAAAATATTTTACACGCAACAAATAGGGTTATCAGGCGCATTCCCATGAGAATTTACTACTTAAACATCACCACAAACAAATCTTTAGGAATGAAAAAAATATTTTGATGAAATTAAAATTATTAATTAACAAAAACTTTCCTTTTATTAAGACTTCATTTCTTGAAATAGAAAGATTGACTTGTAATCTACTAATATTAAACATTTTCAGATAGAAATTACATGAAAACTCAAAATACTAAATTATTTACCATTCTTGTATTTGATCAAGATTATTTTCAAAAGGAACTCCATTGCCGGCTAACTGCTGACCTCTTTTCCATCTTATTAATTCAGTATCCAGAATCCTTTTTTGAAGTTCACTGAGCTCCATAAATGTTTTTTGATATTGATCAAGAATTGTCTAAAAAAGAAATACATTCATTATGCCATACGATAAAGTAAATTAACTCATAGGGTATCTTTACATGCTATAAAAAAAAACTTCAAAACAATAGAAACTGCACAAAGAATATTTACAAATCTTACTTTTCCTTACAATAACAGAGTGAGCATTAATTAATGCATTTTGTGCAATATTTTTATCAAAAAAGTTAAAAGATAACAAGGAATTTTAAATAAAGTTACATACCATTCTTATACGAAGTAGTTCTTGTATTTTTGCCCGTATACTCTGGTCAAACATTTCCTTCTCTTTCGTCAGTTTTGCAATTATTTCTTGATTTTGTGTCATTTGGAGTTGTGCTAAGTATAGAAGAGCAAAATTTAAAATATAGAAAAAACATTAAGTTTATATATAAANGCAAAAACCCACTCAAAGTAAATCAACAAAAAGCTTTGACGCGAATGCCTTCTCTTTTCTGATTGGCTTAAAACTGCATCCTCGCTTGGATTGGCTACTTCTTTCATACTGTCACGTGATACCTTAGATTTCATTGGCTGGTGGACACCATCACTGGATTTTTATATATAGTTAGAAACTTACATTAACTGAAATATTTTAAATTGAATCCACTTCATAAAAGATGAAACTTTATGAGAGGGTAAAATTTCTTTTTTTCAAAACTGGCAATATTAAGCATTTTTTAAAACAATTTAAATTATAAAATTTAAATAAGTATGTTAACGTTATTAAAAGTATTTAATAACACAATTTTAACATGAAATGAAATTAAAAAACATATTTCAGTCACTCAATTTTAAAATTTGATTGTTATTTCTATACCCGTTTTTGTAAATTAATAGTTTTATCTCAGCAATTCTTAAAAGTAAATCTACTATTTTTGTAAAAACAATAACTTAAAAGAAGAAATTACTTAAAATATTAATTAATTTGTTCTGCATCTTTTTTTTGTTTATTTATACAAAACTTTTTCACAATCTTTAGAGTATTAAGACAATTCCATAAAGGAAAAAAAATAAATTCATAGATGTTTTGAATTCTGAAGTTGAAAAAAAAAAAAATTGGATATAAATAATTTTAAAAAAAGTACAGACATATGAAACCTGCGGAAGTTAGAAATAAAATCAAATCTTTGGCATAAAGACAGTAATAAAAAAAATAAAAGTTGCAGGTATGTATTGTGAGGTAATAAGCTTTACCTTGTCGCTTTGAGCTTTCTTGATACTGTATAACAAATGCTTCTTGACCTTGAATAATTTTTCGAAGTTCATCGCTTGTTTGCTACAAATATTTGTAAATAGAGATATTTTCAAATCAAATATTTATTACTAAGTAAATATATTAATAATAGTAACTAATATGCTAGCAAGAATCGGAAATGAATATTTTTACCAAGTAATATGTCAAAACTACCATGATATGCAATTAAAAATAAATAAGTTTAACTTCTTTAATGAGAAAACTTGTCCCTCATGTCATAGTGACTTTAACAGAAATTGGGTTAAAAAAAATGACATTACTTAACTAAAAAATTTATCACATGAATAAATTAAATACAAACTCTTATTCGATATTAACCATTTTCGGATAGGTGAATATATAACTTTTCAATTAAACTGGGTGGTTTGTTAAGTTTCAAACATTAAAAATAAAATAAATAAAAAAATATTTTTTTTAAAAATTTTATAATTTTGTTTAGATTGACTAATCAATTCATAATATTAATATTTCTCTATCATAAATTAATTCAAACATTTAAATAATCTGGAATATTTAAATAAACACATCAATAACATTAAAAGAGAAAAATTATTTAAAAAAAATTCTTTAATTTAAAAAAAAAACATTTAAAAAATAAATAAATTTAAAGCCTAAAAAAATATTTATATTATGATGCACTCTTGAATTACATAGATTATAATTAACAAAATACACATTTGCATTTTAATATGCAAAAATTTCTTACCCAAGTATAATGCCTTAGTTTTTGTAAGGCCATGTTAATTTCCCACACAGCTCTAATTCTTACCTGAGTATAAAGCCTCAGTTTTTCTAAGGCCATGTTTATTTCTTGAGTTGGATCAGGAGGGAGTTGCATAGCACCAGCAACTCCTCTTAAGAACTAAAAAAAAAGAGAAAAAAAACTATCATCAAGTCTTTAAAAAAACATAGCAAATTGTAATTAAAAGAACCATAAATACAAAAAAAGCCTTTTAATTTAAACACAAATTTAGAACTCTTAATATTAATTTTTGGGTATTTGGAGAACTAAATACAATTTATATACACAAATAATTAAAAATGTTATGTGAGAAGTACATTGATATTTACAACTAACAAATAGAATAATTTATTTTTTAAAAAGTAAAATATGTGTTCAGATTATTTTCCAAGAATTAAATCGATAAATTTTATTGCAAATGTTTAATCTATTATAAGGAAAAGGTGCTTCAAAATGTTATTATTTTAACACACTTTTGACATTTTTAAAACTAATAATAATAATAACACTTAGAATAACACACCACTAAATAAGTCTCCAGTCTGACACATAAATGGCAACACTGCAAACAGAACCACATGACTTCTGGAGTAGCAACTTCCAAACAATAACGTCAAAATTTCATGACATACTGATTATTAGTTTACAGATTACAAATGGTTTTAATGATCCTAGTTTTATCATTTTTAAGAAAATGGATAAAAAGAATTTCTAAATAAAAGGTTTTTTGATGGGGGAAAATATTGTTAGTGGCTCGATAATCATTACGGAGACTCTGTATCAGAGATATCAACTATCATTGACTGGTATGCTGAAATTACAACACGCTGGTCGTCCAAAATCAGCAGCTGTTCCACAATACAGCAAAAGAGTTCATAAAATAGTTTTGAAAGACCCTTAAGTAAAGTTGCCTTGAGATAACAAACACTTCAAATATACAGACAATAGTGCGTTTACAACTTTAAATGGAAATTAGAGCATGTGCAAATTGCTTTCGGAAAGGGTGCCGCTATTACTCACATCAAACCAAAAAGAGCAACGTGTTGCCGATTTAGAAAGCTGTTTAGAACAATTAAAGCTAGATAAAAAGGATTTCTTGCTTATAAATGAATCAAAAAGATCCTCAGCTCAGTGGACAGTAACAGGTGAAAGTCGTTAAAAGCAACCAAAAACTGAAAAGTCAGCAGGGAAAGTTATGGCTTCCATATTCCATAAAAAATTTTCAAAAGCAAATATTATATGGCATTATTGGTTCAACTGATTATGAAAATCAAGAAAAAAGATGCAGAGAAAAAGCTTTTCACCAAAACAATGCCCCTTGTCACAAGCCAATGAAAATGATGGTTGAATTGAACAAATTACATTGAATTACTTCCCCACCCACCACATTCTCCAGATCTGACCCCTAGCGACTACTGGCTCTTTGCAGACCACAAAAATACGCTCCAAGGAAAGAAATTTGGTTCAAATGGAGAAGTTACTGCTGAAAGTCCAGTTTTTTTTAAATATATAAATATATATATTGTATTTCTTAGCTAAACAGGAAACTTATTAAGTGACTTGTCAGACATTAAAATCATAGATAAATAACTAAGCCAAAAACTAAAAAGTTTCCAAATTTCTTATATTTTCATTAACTTAATATTTTTCGAATGAGAAAAGCAAATTTTAAAAATAGAACTAAGATTTTTAGCTGTATTATGATTTTAATTGTATTGAAATTATTGTATTGCATTTGAAATTATAATGAAAAATAAAAATCCAGTATACAGGGCAGCCACAAGGGTAAGACCCTAAGAATAGTCTTTTTAGTAGCTTCAGATATGAAAAGTCTCAAAAATAGTTACCAGAGACATGAAACAGTTTCCCTCATCTAGCATATTCTTACAATATTTATATTTTAATGATGCATTAAATAAATTCCTCAAAATAAAGATGGATCAAAATAAGTTTAAACGAAAAATACAAATCATCATTCAACAAATTACTTTAAAATTAAGTCGTATATAATCAACATACTAAAAAATAAATGTACACAAAGATAATCAAATAACATCAAAATAATTAGAAATTAATTGCTTAAAGTAAAGGTACATTTAAAAGTAATTTTGATTTTGCAATGAGTGAAATGTATAGGAAATGAAAAACAATGCTTTTACTACAATTTGGTAGGCAAGAAAAAAATTTATTACATCATTTTTCATTTAGGAATCGGATATAAGAAAAATAATTTCAGCTACAAAAGGGCTTAGTTACTTTTTCGTAAGATGACCAAAAAACTGCAATAAGCCAGAAAAATGAATAATAAATGGGTGGACCCTAAATTCAAAATATCCCATATTTAGTAAAAAATTTTCAAGGTAAATAAAAAAAAATCTCCCATACTGATGCAGCAATAATTTGTTCTGAGAGGAAGAAGATAAAAAAAGTTTTCCGTCTTAATACTCACATCTTCTCATTCTTACCAAAAACATACTTACTAGTTTTGACATTGATATTGAATTACAGAATAAATTACAAAAATACCACTTATAAAATTAAAAAAAAAACATTATATGGCATTTTGGGATTAAAACGAGATTTTTAATCCTATTTTTACAAACAAGGTATCAGCACATGCTAACAAAGTGGAAATAACTAAGCAATAACAGTTAAAATGAAGGTTAAAAAAAATGCAAAAGATGAGCTTAGTGGAACACATAATTTTTTTAGGTTTGAGAATAATAATCTATCGTTAGTATAGAATTAATGGTGCATTTTTTCGAATTTATAAGAAAGATTATTTTAAAAAAATTTCTCATATTTTTATAAATTCTATGAATTTTCTCAAAATTCCTCAAAACATCAATTAAAATGTTCTTTGATTAAGCTTAAAAAAATCTTTACATCAAAAAAAGCTTACATTATTTTGAAATAAATCATAACTAATGACTAGAATACTCAATAATCTTAACTGATACTTACATGTTCTGCTTGCTGAACAATTCTCATTTCATTTTGAAGACAATGTTTCACCACTCGAACTAACTGCTGAGGATGTCCACTATACTTTGACTAGAAAGAAGTTAAAAAAAATTTAATATTTTCATTATATACACAAAAAAATTAAAAATAAATCTTTTTTTGTGATATAAAAATTTGAAAACATCAGACAAAATGTATGAAAGAAATAGAGGTTGTGGTAAAATCCTTTCCCTCTTTCCCCTCCTTTAGCATGTTGAATGCCATGGGGGGCACCGGCACCGAGTGTTCGTAGCGCCATGGGGGTCACCGGTGAAGCGATTATTAGAAACACATAATTTGAGTAAATTTTCAATGCTTTTAATTTTTTATATTATTATCGTGACAAAAATGGTTTGAAGAAATTAATGCAGTGCATATTGAGAAAATCATTTTGGCCAGACGGGCAAGCCATGTAAAATTAGCATGACATTCAACGTGTTAAGTATTTGAAGAAAAAAAAACAAGCTTCTGATTGAATTGTTACAACAATCAATTAAATATTAACATTCTATTATATTAACATTCTGCTATTAAGATTATTGATTTCTTACAATTTACTTTAATTTACTTAATTTTGCACAGACTTATGCACATTTGGATTGTCTTTCTCCCTCCTTATTTGAGTAATAATATCTTGCTGCAATTCTGTGTCACAAGATCAGAGCCGTTCTTTACATTTGTTTGATAATTAATTTTTTTCTGTATTCAAGATATTGTCTTTAGCTTAATTTAAAAGCTTAACAGTTTCTGCCATTACTGATTTAATTCATTTAATGTTTGTTCAACCTAAACTCCTGGCTTAACGGAAGGAAGAATCCAAGTCTAAGAATATTCCTGAGTCAATGGAAAGTCAACAGTCTCCCTTTGAGACACAGCCCTTGGAATTACGATCTACTGAGAGTAAGGGGAAAAAGAGGAAGAAAAAGAAATTCAAGGCCAAGACTGAATCCTCGAACATCGTCGATTCGCAACCTTCTTCCCAGCCTGAGAATCCTCCAAAAATTGGGAGAACCATGACTCTGAAACGGGCGGAGGCTCAGTTCATTCACTACCCATGTCATCATAATGGAGTGGCTTTATTAGTCGATGTACAGCTTTACCAGTTTCGGCAGTAATTCGTTCAAAACCAGGAGTGGGAACAAGCTCTGAAAGTACACGTTATTTACTAATACAAAATGTAATACGAGAGTACTGATTTGAGATCATGTCTGTATGATCTGCCACTAGACAAGAATCAGAAAGGCTCGCTTCATATATGATGCTGTGGGCTGTGACAGGTGAATCACTTGATCATGTAAATGTGATCACAGTCCTAAAGGGGTCAATAAATAATAACATAACAACCAATTTTTAAAAAATAATTTAAATTATGAAAATTAGTAAAAAAATTGGTATGTCAAGTTATTTTAACAAAAAAATTTAAAAATTGCCTAAATTTAACTAACTAATATGCATTTAAAATCTGTGAAAGTTACGTCCATAAAGAGGAAATAAATTTTAATGTTTTCATTATTTTTAATATTTCTATAATGTTATTTTAATATAATTAAAATAGTTTTTTTAATAACTTATTCTGTTCATCAGCTAAACAAAAATAATTGAGAATTTAATAAAGCTCATCTGTAGTGCTTGTTTAAAATATTGAAGAAGCTGTCTGTTTTTCAAACTTGTTTACTTATACTTATTACTTTGTTTTGTTGTTATTTTTAAGCCAATGCAAAAAAAACACTACTTCTTTTAATATTTTAAAAAAGCTTCAAAACAATTTATTTTTCAAATATTATGTTCATTCCTATTTCAATAACAGATTGCCTGAATATTTTTTTCAAACTTAATTCCAATAGAACAGAATAAATATTTAGTTAACCTATGAATGGTAGCAAAGTAAGCAGTTTTTAACAAAATATAGTTATTATGTAAGTGCTTTTACCCTAAACTCAATAGCTGCTTCAGTTAGTTTTATTCTCAATGAGAAAATCTCACGAGAATATTTTTTTCAAACTTAATTCCAATAGAACAGAATAAATATTTAGTTAACCTATGAATGGTAGCAAAGTAAGCAGTTTTTAACAAAATATAGTTATTATGTAAGTGCTTTTACCCTAAACTCAATAGCTGCTTCAGTTAGTTTTATTCTCAATGAGAAAATCTCACGAGAATATTTTTTTCAAACTTAATTCCAATAGAACAGAATAAATATTTAGTTAACTTATGAATGGTAGCAAAGTAAGCAGTTTTTTTACAAAATATAGTTATTATGTAAGTGCTTTTACCCTAAACTCATTAGCTGCTTCAGTTAGTTTCATTCTCATCAAAAAATCTTGATCAGGTGCAGATATTTTCTGCTCTAACTGATGAAACAAAGAGTTCACTATTTGAGCACAATAAGTGTCATGTTGTGGATTATCAGGATCCAATTCACTCCTATAATAGAAAATATACATATATTTTTAATTATTGAACATTGCTAGCCTTTAAATATTTACTTGAAATGTATGGCTATTCCTTTTAAGTTAGTTTGCATTGAAAACCTTAAGGTATGATAGAAAGAAATTTAAAATAACACAGAACAGATTAATTAAGCAAAAAGTAACAACAAATTAATTAAGCACCATCATTAGTAAACAACAGATTAATAAAACAAAAAGTAATTAACAACTCAAACTCGAACCTAAATATAAATAAACTTATTCATATGATTTAGTACATTCAATAGTTACTAACTACTTTCCTTTTTTATTCCTGTTCTAACATACAATATTTTTAAAAAAACTCAACTACAAAAGGAATATTAAATAAAAAGATAATTATAGAAATAAAATGGCTTTTAGATTTTGAAAACACAGAAAGTTTGCTACACTTTAAATATTGGTAATTTTATGATTCATTAATTGACAACTTGATTTATATGCATATTCACTGATAAAGTGATTGGCATTAAAATACAGTGAACTCCATGAATTTTTCTTTTTAATTTTCAGAGATATCATTAAAAAAACTACTACACAAAAAATTGACAGTTACAGTCAAATTCTGTTTTAGAAAACCAAAATGAAGAAAATTTTAATGTAACAAATATTTTCTGACTTCCTAAATAAATTTCCATAAGACACAATGTATTTAAAATTTAGATATTATATATTTAGAATTATATTTATTGTATTTAGAATTATATTATATTTAGATATTTTGATTAAGAAAAAAATTTATTTTGGGAAAATTTGTTAATAAGAATGAGAAAAAAAAATTTTGGAAAATTTTGTTACAAATACTTGTACTTTTTCCTAAAAAAAGTAATGAAAAAACAAATAAAAGTACAAAATTTGAAAGGTAACGAAGTACAAGTAAAGGTATATTCGTGTATGCTGATGCACGTTAAATCTGTCGGATCACGAAATCTTATCTAAGTCCTTAACAAATCAATATACCTCCCACGGTACTGAAATGGAGTTAGAACATTCTCAGGTTCAGGTCAAAATTACGATCTGTGGATGAATAAATAGACACCATATAAGCCATACGGGCTGTGACGTGTGTGTGGCTGAAGTCGTATTCTTGGCCATAGATGGGCCACTAAAAACAAGAAATACACTCTCTGCCTAATTTTGCTTGGTTTCACCAAACAGGCTTGCTAGTATTGGCAAGTGGCATTAGAAACAAGAAAAAATATATAAAGGCAGTTTTTAATGTTCTATAATATATAAACTTAGTTATAAAAATATGCCTAGGAATTTGCTTAAGAAAATTCAACAGCTTTTTCAAGCTACATAAATAATTTATTCATAAAAATTGATAATTTTTCACAAATGAAGTCACACTTCTAATTAATCAATTTAAAATTACCAGTGTTGTTCTTCAATCCATGGAGCAAGGGAAGCACGAACTTCTATAGGAAAACTTTCACCATAAAATTGGCCCACTTGCTGAAGAGCTTCATCATGAAGCTGTTGCACTCTTGACCACAAAGCCATCTAAATTAGATTTTAAGAAAAATAAATAAGCAAACATAATTTAGATATGTTCTAGACATAGTAAGTTCTTGTTATAAAAATTTCAAAAATCTTAATTTTACTACATGGGATACAGCAATCTTGCCGTCAGGCTAACTATGCTGTTCGTGGAATTTTTTTGTATTTTTCTTCTAATGTAAAGCAAATGTGATCTTGTTTCAATTTTGATGCCCTCCATGAAAATGAATTTGTCCGAAAGTTTTACCAAGGAGTTACCTTATACTCTTAAGTTTTATTAAAAATTGCAAAACTATGGGTTTTAGCATTAAAAGTAACAACTCATCTGTTTGAATTAATGCTAGTAGTAAAATAAATTAAACATCTTAAGCCTTGCAATAAATTTATTTTTTTTTAAATTTATTTACTTATTTTTGGTATATTTTAAACTTGATTTATTTGGCAAGCATTTTGTATGAGATGGAAAAAAAATACCCAAATAATCATTTAGATTTGACTTTCGTTTTGTAAAGGTACATTGTAATGTTTATTCCTCTTCCCTTTCTTTTTATTAACAAACTAACGATTAATACTAATAATTTACTTCATGTTTTTTTTTTGTTTTTTTTTATTATACGAGTTTGTTTACAGTCATACAAGAGAGAACAAAATGAAGACTTTATTTATGTCTGATATTAATATAGAAAGTGATCATCATTTCATCTCATTTTCCTCTTTCAATCTTAATTCATCTAGTTATTAAAATAAATATATGTAGATAACCAGCAGCTAAAATATCTTTCAACATAAAAATGAAAGAATCATCTGCAATCATCAGCAATATTGTCACATACTACTTCAAATGGATGTACACTGCGCAAAAAATGAAAAGACTAGATGAATAACTTTTGATCTAATGATCAGATCTTCATGATGTACGACTCAATCTTAATGGTTGAAGATGGCGATCTCTAATATAGTAATTATTTAGCGCAAACAATATTTTAAGTTAGGAAATTAGACAAAAAAAAAGTACTTTCGCGGATTAAACATACCTTATTTTCGGCAAATAATTTCTGACTTCCAAATTATATGGAATAGTAACTAGCTGGGAAATACGGTTCCAATAGTTTGGCCAGGAGCATGATCCAAAGTTTGAACCCCTTAATGTTAATTTTACTTTTTGCGTATTACACCATATCTCAGAAACTTTTTAAACAAATTGAAAAAAATTTTCATACAATTTTAAAAACATTTTTTATTTTAAAACTGTCTCAAAACATCTATATTGTAAGAACTACAATTTTTACATCATTTTAAAGAATGCAATTTTAAATGGCAAAATACAAATTTGGGCAAAATCGGCAAATAGTTCCTGAGGAAGCTAATTTGGAAAGAGTCTTAATCTTAAAATTTGCCATTGAACAAAATTACAGGTAACAGATCAGATAAAAATGTCATTTACATTACATTAAAATACTTATTAGATTAAAATACTTATTTTCATTTATTGAAATCTCACTTCTAAAAAAAATAATGTGAGAAAATTATGATGCATAAAATACATTTTAATTTAAATATCTTGAATCCATTTGTTTGTGCTACCTAGTCTGGAGAGCTTTGGCCCCAAGTCGGGCAAAGTCTAGCACCACCCTTGCCACTATCCAGTACTCCTTAGTTGTTGACCTTAAGCTTATAGAACATGTCGTAACTCTCTTATACATACATAGATGGCAGCATCAAAATTGTGCAACTAATCTAGTACTCCCTATTTCTCAAGCTAGATGACATCACTAGATCAACAAATTAAGCAGCATTCCTTGATTTCCTTAACAGAAACACAACTAAAGCTACAAAAAGCCAGTGAATTTAACTAGGATATAAAAAAAAGAGGCCTACTCCAGATTTCTCATTAAGAATAAGATAATTTTACCAGAGTGTAATTATTATTTAAACAATGTATTAATTTTTTTTAATGCATATCTGCCAACATTTGAAAAATAAAACAGAGATTTTACCAACCGACCCAATTTTGGGTTTATGACTCCCAAGGTTAGCCTGACCATAAGGGGATTCTAACCCGTGATCAGTCTATCACTGAGAATATATATTTTATGTCAGCATTGGGATCAGTGCAAGCTGGATGCAGAATTTGTATTGACCAGTTGTCGCTGCGATTCGTACCTAAGTTCACCTCATTAGAAGGCGAGCTCTCTATCCCCTGAGCCATCACGGCTCGACTTTAACAGTTAACATTAAACATACTTCTGTACAGGCAATAGCACCATCTATTGAGGAATAAGATAAGTATTTTGCCAACAGTGGATATTTTATCACCCCAAATTTTTTTTTTCTAAGTTCTTCAACAAATACTGAGAAATTTGAGAATATACAGGTAAACAGGAGATAGTCGTAAA